ATTCCCAGTGCCCTCCCTGAGATCAGCCTGGCTATGACAAATTCTATAAAATTTGCCCGCTAATTCAGAGCTCTGAGGAAGGGGATTCGTCTCCTGCAACACATCAGCTTATCCGCAATTGGGGCACAGCCTTGTATTGACTGCCATTACGGACTATTCATACTGCATGTATTATCCTTTGGTTTGTGAGTATATATCTATTTGATTACACAATAAACACGTGGTGTACCACGGTAATGCACGATGAGACTGCGCCCTTTTTTTTGTTCTTTGTTCCTTAGTACCCAGATTTCCCGATCTTTGAAGGTCTGAACATCTTCGTTTGTCATTTTAAATCCCTTTTAGTCTGCATGAAGATCTGAGCGCTGGTTTCGTTTGTCTTTGCCTTCTTCCTATACTGCATCCTGGTGCCATCTCTTTCCCAGGTAAGCAAAGCACATGCACCCAGCCATCCACGTGATGAAGAAAATGTGATTCAACAGACCAGCCCACCTTCCTATTTTGTTCCATAGTCCAGTTCTGATGTTCATATGCTCATTTTATGTGCTTTTGGCTGTGGGTTCATAGGCACCCTGTCTGGCCTGCAGCTGAGCAGCAAACGGCATTACCCATTTTCTTCTACTTTCAACACATCAGCTTCAGGAACAACATATTTACTTGCTGCCTAATATATTCCACTGATTTTAAGATGCCATTGTAACAAGATGATCAATGTTACGTCAGAGGCCACTGGTTACTGGTGTATATGTACGTGTGTATATCAGTGTGTGTATATATATATAATATATATATATATATATATATATATATATATATAATTTTTTTATATATAAATACATATATATATATATATATATATGTGTGTGTATGTATATATTACTAAGAACCCCCAAATGATGTGATTAATAATCTGGGATCACCTCTTTATTGTATATACTGTAAATATTTCTTCCTGTTCTTCTTATGGCTGTACATATATGTAAATTGTATCTCTGTCCAAGAAAAAACTCAATGCATGTTTAGGTAGGACTTTTTAGCTTACAAAACCAATTGTGCAAAAAAATAAAAAAATTAAACAAAACTGTATTTTTGCCCTCACTTGATTGGCTAATTAACTCAGCACAAATTTACTTAATTCACTAGGCAAAATGAAAATTCACTTAGCAAAGTGAACATGCTCCAATACAACCAACCCAATAGAGTTAAAGCATGTATGGATCTTTTTTTTTTAGTTTTGAATAAAATCGAATTTTTTTTTTTTTTCTGTTTGTGTCCCATTGGGGAGATTTATGTTCACCTCCTCGCATAGGAGGAAGTGATAGGAAATCTCTTCACAATAAAGGAAATAGGTTAAGTACTATAGGGTATCGCTATTGGAAGATTTCCTCCCACCTCTTTTTCTGAAGACAACTGTAACATTTTGGACTTATTATCATGTCCCATTGACAATGGTCACCCAACCATCTTTTATTACAACCAATTATATAAATTTATTACCCAACACTTTCCGGCCTAACTGCAGTCAAATCACTCACATAGTGAGTGGTAATAAATAGAGTGACATAACCCCATACAATTCCAAATATATTTTATTGCGGGAAAAAAAATATTGTTAGTTTTTTTATTCTTCATCCTTCTCTTTTCTCTAAGGCTGCATTAACACTTGAACGTTTTGTAGCTTGAAGCCTCAAAGCTCCAGAAAAGCTCAAACTTAAATGGTGCCTGTTCACACCTGATCACGCGAACAGGCACCATAGAGAACAATTTATTTTTTAAGTTTGAGCTTTTCTGGAGCTTTAAGCTTCAAGTTACAAAATGCTCAACAGTGAATACAGCCTAATATTTCATAGCTGAGCTTTTTTGAGTCAGAAAAACATTGGCTTCCATGATGTGGTTTTCCTACTGACTGACACTCTAATCAGCTGCAGGACAATTGTATTTTATGTGGTCAGTTAGATGCAACCATCACTTAAAGCAGTATTAGGGCTAATTCACACTTGTGCGTTGATCTGCGCTTTAGTGCACTTGTGAAATGCAGCTCAAGGCATAGACACATAAAAACCAATGTTTGTTATGTGTCCTGTTCACTCCACAATGCTGTGTTGCATTGCGTTAAAATTACAACATGTATGCATTTTACTGCACCGCCACAAATGTAAATGCGTGTAAAATGTGCTTCAGCACAATGCAAGTAAGGAAAAAAAAATTTGCCTTATGATTAATTTTGTCCCCTTACAAGCACACATGCCAGCAGCCATATTTGGGAATTTAAGAGTAAGGAAAGAGGAGAGTGTTTGCAGAAGTTTCTGAAGAGCAGGTGCTTTTTGAGGATAGTCCGCATGGCAGAATTCATTGATATACAGTGCCTTGAAAAAGTATTCAAATCCTTGAAATGTTCCACATTTTGTCATGTTACAACCAAAAACATAAATACATTTTATTGGGATTTTATGTGATAGACCAACAAAAAGTGGCACATAATTGTGAAGTAGAAGGAAAATGAGAAATTATTTTGAACATTTTTTACAAACCAATATCTGAAAAGTGTGGCATCCATTTGTATTCAGTCCCCCGACTCAATATTTTGTAGAACCACCTTTCGCTGCAATTAGAGCTGCACATCTTTCTGGGAATGTCTCTACCAGCTTTGCACAACTAGAGAGTGACATTTTTTGCCCATTCTTCTTTGCAAAATAGCTCAAGCTCTGTCAGATTGGATAGAGAGTGTCTTGCCACAGAGTCTCAATTGGATTTAGGTCTGGAGTTTGACTGAGCCATTCTAACACACGAATATGCTTTGATCTAAACCATTCCATTGTAGCTCTGGCTGTATGTTTAGGGTCGTTGTCCTGCTGGAAGGTGAACCTCCGCCCCAGTCTCAAGTCTTTTGCAGACTCTAACAGGTTTTCTTCTAAAATTGCCCTGTATTTGGCTCTATTCATCTTCCCATCAACTCTGACTAGTTACTGTCAGGGCTCCGGGTATGACCAGAGTGTGTGACTGACGCAGGGAAACGCAGACTTCAGATATGTTATAAACAATGTAATTTATTAACACTAACCATACAAACATAAACGCAGTGCAATACTAAAACATAACACAGTGCAAACAAACCAACCACCCACAGATAACAGTACATACAATGCAAGCGTCGTCAGGCAGGCCGGGTCAATATCAGTCGGGCAGGTAGGTACAGGGGGAGCAAGCGGAGAATGGTCGGGGTCACAGGCCAGGTTCAGCAGGTAGCGGGCAGCGTGGTACAGAGGATCAGGCAGAGGAGAATGGTCAGACAAGCCAGGGATCAGAGCAGGGTCAGCAGAGAATCAGACAGGAACAGAGAGCAGGAACAGGATACAGGGCCCCAAGAGAAACACAACACCAAGGCAGAGTCTGCAGGTCTGAATGTCCCTTAAATACACCAGTATAATTAGTTCCAGGTGTTTGACTGGCTGCAAGGTTGAGTCTCTGATTGCTGGGAGCACCCGCTGGCCAGCCCTGGTACTGCAGCTCATAAGGCAGCTGAGTCCCACTATTGCTGGCCAGTCCATTCCTGACAGTACCCCCCCCTCAAGGAGCGGCCTCAGGACGCTCCAAACAGTCCTAGCTGGGCAAAATGTTCCACCGCCCGGGTCTGGTAACTGGCGGGATATCAAAGACTGGCACACCGGGCAGGACTCCGGGCAGCGGCACACCGGGCAGAGGCACATCGGGCAGGACTCCGGGCAGAGGCACACCGGGCTGCACTCCGGGCAGAGGCACTCCGGGCAGCGGCACACGGGCTGGACTCCGGGCAGAGGCACATCGGGCTGGACTCCGGGCAGAGGCACATCGGGCTGGACTCCGGGCAGAGGCACATCGGGCTGGAGAGGCACACCGGGCAGAGGCACATCGGGCTGGACTCCGGGGCAGAGGCACATCGGGACTCCGGGCAGAGGCACATCGGGCAGGACCCGGCAGAGGCACATCAGATTACTCCCGGGCAGAGGCAGCATTGGGCAGGACTCCAGGGCAGAGCACATCGGGCAGGACCCCAGACGGGCAGACCGGGCCCCACATCGGCATTACCAGGCGAGCAGCAGCACAGCGGGCCACCGGGGCGGAGCAGCATCAGGCCCCGGGGGACGACACCCCAGACGGGGCAGCAGGCACCGTCGGGCCCCCAGGCGGGGCGACAGCAGCAGGCAGCGGGCCCTCGGGCCCCCAGGCGGGGCGAGCATCGGGCCCCCAGCGGGGTGACGGGCATCGGGCCCCCAGGCGGAGCGGCGGGCACCGGGCCCCCGGGACAGGGGGCAACAGGCATCAGGCCCCCAGGCGGGGCGACAGGCGTCGGGCCCCCAGGCGGGGCGACAGGCATCAGGCCCCCAGGCGGGGCGACAGGGCGTCAGGGCCCCCAGGCGGGGCGACGGGCGTCGGGCCCCCAGGCGGGGCGACAGGCATCGGGCCCCCAGGCGGAGCGGCGGGCTCCGGCCCCAGATGGAGCGACAGGTCTCGGGCCCTCAGCGGAGCGGCGGCGCCGGACCCCCAGGTGGAGCGACAGGTCTCAGGCCCTCAGGCGGAGCGGCCGGTGCCCCTCAGGTGGAGCGACAGGTCTCGGGCCCCAGGACCCCGGAGCAGGCCGGAGCGACAGGTCTCGGGCCCTCAGGCGGGGCGGCGGGTGCCGGACCCCCAGGTGGAGCGACAGGCGCCTCGGACCCCTCAGGCGGAGCGGCGGGCGCCGGACCCCCAGGCGGAGCAACAGGTCTCGAGCCCCCAGGCGAAGCGGCGGGCACCGAGTCACCAGGCACGACAGTGGGCTCCGAGTCAACTGGCATGACCGCTGGCACTGGGTCAGACATTGGATCGTCTGGCTGGACAGCGGGCATCGGGTCACCAGGCATCAGGTTATTTGACTCGACAGCGGGCACCTCGTCATCTGGCAAGGCAGTGGGCTCCGAGTCAACTGGTATGACCGCGGGCACTGGGTCAGACATTGGATCGTCTGACTGGACAGCGGGCATCGGGTCACCAGGCATCAAGTCATTTGGCTCGACAGCGGGCACCGCGTCATCTGGCAAGGCAGTGGGCTCCGAGTCAACAGGCACGACAGTGGGCACCGGGTCATCAGGTACCGGATTGTCTGGCTCGACAGCGGGCATCGGGTCACCAGGTATGACAGCGGGCACTGGGTCACCAGGCATCAGGTCATTTGGCTTGCCAGCGGGCACCGCGCCATCTGGCAAGGCAATGGGCACCGGGTCACCAGGCATTGGATCGTCTGGCTCGACAGCGGGCATCGGGTCACCAGGTATGACAGCGGGCACTGGGTCACCAGGCATCAGGTCATTTGGCTTGCCAGCGGGCACCGCGTCATCTGGCAAGGCAGTGGGCACCGGTCACCAGGCATTGGATCGTCTGGCTTGACAGCGGGCATCGGGTCACCAGGTATGACAGCGGGCACTGGGTCACCAGGCATCAGGTCATTTGGCTCGCCAGTGGGCACCGCATCATCTGGCAAGGCAGTGGGCACCTAGTCACCAGGTACGACAGCGGGCTCTGAGTCAATTGGCACGACAGCGGGCACAGGATCAGGTACCGGATCATCTGGATCAACAGCGGGCATCGAGTCAACTGGCCTAATAGGATCGTCAGGCTGGATCAGTTCATCACGCTGGGTAGAGGCATCAGGCTGAATGCCGGCGTCCGGCTGAGTAGAGGCTTCAGGCTGAATAGAGGCTTCAGGCCGAGTAGTGGCTTCAGGCCGAGTAGAGGCATCAGGCCGAGTAGTGGCTTCAGGCCGAGTAGAGGCATCAGGCCGAGTAGAGGCATCAGGCCGAATAGAGGCATCAGGCCGAATAGAGGCATCAGGCCGAGTAGAGGCTTCAGGCCGAGTAGAGGCTTCAGGCCGAGTAGAGGCATCAGGCCGAATAGAGGCTTCAGGCTGAAGAGAGGCATCAGGCTGCGTACAGGCATCAGGCGAGTATAGGCATCAGGCTGCGTACAGGCATCAGGCTGAACCACGGAAGGCAGGTTCACCGGTTTGGATACTGGCAGGATGGTATTGGTTGGAAAGAATTTTCGCTTTTTTCTGGTTTTAACTACTGGAGCACTGCAAGTAAACGCAGGTCTGCAAACGAATGGAGCAGCTGGAGACAGAGAAGAACTGGAGGATGGAACAGGAGAGGGAGCAGTTGCTACAGAGGGCTTTTTTTACAGGGTTAAAGGCAGGATAGGTGCAGCGAGTGGGAACAGGGGACTGACATGCGGTAGATAGCAGGGCAGGAGGAGCTGTTGGGAATGCAGGAATAGAGTTTTGAGGAAATAGATTAGAAGCAGGACTGGGTTTTTGTAAGCTGACTGAGGCTGGGTGCAACAAGTCTGTCCATGTCTGCAGTACGGGTTGAACAAAGCTGAGCTTACACAAAGCCTATCTGACCAAAGACTGCACTGCGTTTATACAATCTCTTAGTGTCTGTGGTGAACATGTGGAATAACGCTCCAGAAAGTAACCCACATCATCCTCTAATAACCACACCAGGGACTCTACCTGGTCTGCACTAAATGGTGGCAAAAATTCATCCCTGCATTGGGGGGTACCAGATGAAACCAACTCAGCACAAACCTCAATCAAAGGCTGCACCTCAGAGAACTCTGTGCCCTGATCTACTAGAACATGAGCGAGCCGTATACATTCTAGCAGTTCATCCCGGGTATACTCCTTCAGAGTTTGATAAGCATACTCCCTGTCATCAAACACTAGCAGATATAAATACGCAACCTCATCCAGATCCATCCTTCCCATCAACAAGCCAAGATGGCTTCCCTGTGCAGCCACTTCTGGTCAGGATTGGCCTTGGTGTAATGTCAGGGCTCCCGGGTATGACCAGAGGTGTGTGACTGACGCAGGGAAATGCAGACTTCAGATATGTTATAAACAATGTAATTTATTAACACTAACCATACAAACATAAACGCAGTGCAATACTAAAACATAACACAGTGCAAACAAACCAACCAACCACCCACAGATAACAGTACATACAATGCAAGCGTCGTCAGGCAGGCCGGGTCAATATCAGTCGGGCAGGTAGGTACAGGGGGAGCAAGCGGAGAATGGTCGGGGTCACAGGCCAGGTTCAGCAGGTAGCGGGCAGCGTGGTACAGAGGGTCAGGCAGAGGAGAATGGTCAGACAAGCCAGGGATCAGAGCAGGGTCAGCAGAGAATCAGACAGGAACAGAGAGCAGGAACAGGATACAGGGCCCAAGAGAAACACAACACCAAGGCAGAGTCTGCAGGTCTGAATGTCCCTTAAATACACCAGTATAATTAGTTCCAGGTGTTTGACTGGCTGCAAGGTTGAGACTCTGATTGCTGGGACCACCCGCTGGCCAGCCCTGGTACTGCAGCTCATAAGGCAGCTGAGTCCCACTATTGCTGGCCAGTCCATTCCTGACAGTTACCCTGTCCCTGCTGAAGAAAAGTATCCCCACAACATGATGCTGCCACCACCATGTTTCACGGTGGGGATGGTATGTTCAGGGTGATGTACAGTGTTAGTTTTCCGCCACGCATAGCATTTTGCTTTTAGGTCAAAAAGTTAAATTTTTGGTCTCATCTGACCAGAGCACCCTCTTCCACATGTTTGCTGTGTCCCCCACACAGCTTCTCGCAAACTGCAAATGGGACTTTGTATAGCTCTTTTTCAACAAGGGCTTTCTTCTTGCCATCTTCCATAAAGGCCAGATTTGTGGAGTGTATGACTAATAGTTGTCTTGTGGACAGATTCTCCCACCTGAGCTGTGGATCTCTGCAGCTCCTCCAGAGTTACCATGGGCCTCTTGGCCGCTTCTCTGATTAATGCTCTCCTTGCCCAGCCTGTTAGTTTAGGTGGATGGCCATGTCTTGGTAGGTTTGCAGTTGTGCCATATTCTTTCCATTTTTAGATGATGGATTGAACAGTGCTCCGTGAGATGTTCAAAGCTTGGGATTTTTTTTATAACCTAACCCTGCTTTAAACTTCTCAACAACTTTATTCCTAAACTATCTGGTGTGTTCGTTGGCCTTCATGATGCTGTTTGTTCACTAATGTTCGCTAACAAACCTCTGAGGGCTTCACAGAACAGCTGTGTTTGTGCTGAGATTAAATTACACATAGGTGGACTCTATTTACTAAGTAGGGGACTTCTAAAGGCAATTGGTTCCACTAGATTTTAGTTAGGGGTATCAGAGTAAAGGGGGCTGAATACAAATGCTCGTCACACTTTTCAGATATTTATTTGTAAACAATTTTCCTTCCACTTCACAATTATGTGCCTCTTTGTGTTGGTCTATCACATAAAATCCCAATAAAACATTTATGTTTTTGGCTGTAACATGACAAAATGTGGAATATTTCAAGGAGTATGAATACTTTTTAAAGGCACTGTAGATGAATATGTGGCCCATGTCCAGCCACATGAAGTCCTTTATGACCAGAAGCACAAGGAACATAAGGACATTTGAAAAAAGGGGCCTTGTCTGGAGGCTGATTGCATCTAAGGTAATTCCTAACTGGGAACAGCAATCAAGTTCTCACCTCAAGCAAATTGCCACTGGCAAGTGCTGTGCATATTTCTCCATATGTCTGACCATATGCCATGTCTTTTGATCAACAGTGCAGAAACACACTGTACATGTTAGAGTTAGGTTAGGGTTAAATTAGTGTTAGGCTTGGGTTAGAGTAAAGTTAGGGTTAGTGTTAGGTTTGGGTTAGGTTTCTTTTAGGGTTAAGTTCTGGTTAGGGTGAGGTTAAGGTTAAATTAGGGTTAGGATTAGGTTAGGGTTAAGTTCAGTATAGGAAAGTTCACAGAAAAACCTGTAAAATGCAATGTCTATGTACATCAAAATGTGCATCAATGCATGTCAATGCACATTAAAGTGCGAGTAAAATGGATGAAAACGTGCATCCAGTCTCCCTTTGTTTTTCTGTACGTCAATGTGAATTCAGCCTGAAACATATTTCTGACAAACCCAGAAGGGGGAGCTCCAGATTCACAATTACCATTGACTGAAACGAAAAAAATGGCATGTTAGTGCAAATAAAAATATGTGTATTTCTGTCTTTGATTGAAAAAAAATGGCAGACTTGTCAGTAGAAAAGGATTACTAAAACTTACAGTAAAACTCACAGTTTTTTTTTAATAGAATTTTGTTTCAGTGTTTTCCTGGGCATATATAAAGCTGTCCCACAATCTAGAATAATGGTGGAGCAGGTTTTACATTTTGGATACATTTTGAAGAAGAACTGAATATTAGGGTGAACTAGAACAACTAGAAATTGAGTGGAGTATTTTGGCCAAAAAACACAACAATAAAGAAAACAAGATTGGATTATTTCTTCTTATTATTCTTTAAGTAAATTTCACTTAAGTTAAACGCTAAACTGATATATTTTCAGAATTCTTCACACTCCATTTTTTCAGAGTATTTATTTGTGTACTGCTGCTTTAAGTTTTTTTTTTTTTTTTTTTACTTTTATTGCTCAATAGCAGAATCAACCTCCTCCCTCGTGTACCATGTCCCTAGTACAAATTGATGGTTAAACCGCACACAAACCCCCTGTCTTTTGGACTTCCATGGACCAAGCTCAAAAAAACGCATTTTAATATATGTAAAAAAGAGTGTTTACACTCCTATGCAGCGAAGAGGTAATGCCTATCTGGATTCCCAGGGAGGTGAGAACTCGGTACACAAGCTGTGGGTGTCTTCCATGCACCCAAGCAACAGCTATAGCAGAAATGGACAGTTGGCAACTCAAAAAAAAGTCTTTATTGGCTACGGGGTGAATACAAGTTAAAAAACGTATGCATTTCAGCACTTAGATTTAATCTTTGCCATCTATACTCTGGACCATAGCATCCATATATACAACCTTCCACCTAGAATACACAGGTATAAACAATTAAGTTAATTAAAACCAATCAATAATGGAAAAGGGGGTAAGACCAAAGGAAAAAAGATAGAGAGGGAAGGAAAGAAAAATGTGTGGAATAGAAAGACAAAATATTGAATAATAAAAGCTACAGATATAGCAAAAAAAAATACTCACTTACTATTCTGGCGGGGGGCAGTCCCTCTGTCAGAACACAATAGCACAGTGGGGATATCGCCGCACTAGCATCACTGGTGTTAGTATGGTGATCTGTAAGTCTTTTTTTCCTTCTGCTCAGCAGGCTTATAGTGTGTACCCTGCATAAAGCATCAAAAAATAAAATAAAACAAAAAATGTATGAATTACACCTCATTTAAGAAAAAAGTCCACATCCCACCTGTGGTTAAGTCCTTGTCCCCAGGGTAAAAATCCACCTTACTTCCTTCTCAAGCAATATGCAGTGGGAGTCACCCCCCCCCCCCAGTGGGGGTTTCTTAACTTCCTCAATTCTGCTAAAAATAATTATAAGTAATGAAGTCATTATAATGCTCTGCAATTCTCACACAAGATGGTCTGTGCATCGTACATGCAGGGCAGTCCACTATATATACACTAAATACCTAGAGGCACAATTGATATCATCCCAAATAGGGTTTTCCTTACCCGTGGCTCTAGAAAAAATTGTATTACTTTTAGAGTGTTTATCACAATAGCGGCAGTTGTTT